AGGCTGGGAGCGCGCGCGCGCCTGGCGCCAGCAGCCGTCGGTCGCTGAAAGTAGGAATTTCTGGGCTCCCGGATCCCAGTCTATGTTCAAGCGCCTTCTGTCTTCAAGAACCGATGTGTTCTGCTGTGTTTGGTTATTCGCTGGGAGGGCCTGCAGCCAGTCCACTTGATCCGCCTTCCTACTTCATGTTTGCACTTCCTTCTTCCGTCCGACGTGTAATGTGTCCGCTCCCGATCAGGACGGGTGCACCGCACGAGGCAAATTAATTGTGGTGGGCAGATGCATTGTCTGCTGTTCTCGCTTGGGAGGAGGAGGAGGAGGAGGAGGAGGAGGTGGTGGAGGTGGAGGAGGAGGAGGAGGAGAACAAGGAGGAGGAGGAGGATGAGGAGGGGGCCCGACCACAAGAGACCTTCCACAAGAAACCCAGCCCCGCTTCTGCCTCGCGCTTCGGCGAACATGCGTATGCGAAAGCGCACCACAGCCACAGGCGCCACTGAAATGTCACGAGTTTGGCCTCGCGGGGATGGCGCCAGGATTTATCCCCCCCCCCAGGGGCCGCCCTTTTAAATGTGACCACTGCGTGCTGCTCTGCTCCTGCTGCAAGAGTGTTTCCGCTGTGCTCTGGTATCCTCCCTTGGGCAGCTCAGGGGTCAGGGTGCCTCCAGCCTCTTCGCCTGGTCCGTTCTTGTGTGAGGGTTGTTTGTGGTCGAGCTCCTCGTGCCACATCCGTGAGTGTGATAGGAAGTGGATCCCGAGGTCCGCAGCAGGTCGCTCTCAGCGTGCTGTAGAGTTCTTGGTTGCAGTTCAGCGTTCATTGGTTTAGATCGTGTTCGCTGCAGCGCGTACAGAAGGCAGTGTTAGAAATAATTGCGGCGGGCATTAATGCTGTAGGGAATCGGAAGTGGAAGGGTTCGAGATACATTTTGAACTAGACAGGGGTTCAAATCCTGTTTGCCCAGGGCTGGAGGAGTTTGAGTTACAGATGACTTTGAATCCGGCTTCCCAGGGCTACGGAGACCTTTTGAGCTCGAGGGTAAATTCGAATCCGAGTCGTCGGGGTTAGTGCTGATTTCGAATTGCATCGGGGTGTTGATTCAGATAGCAATGGGCAGAGACAGCATTGTGTCAGGGAGGTCTTCGAATGTTAGTTACCAGGGGTAGAGAGCATATATCATTACAAAGAAAAACGAAAGAAGTGCAAGGGAGGGGGGACAATTTTAGTAAGAGGGGAAGCTGAATGTGAACTCGAAGGTTTGATGACCAGAGGCCTTGGGATCTTGTTTGCTGGGGTCAGAGAGAAAACTTGCAATCCTGTCAGACCCTTGCAACCAAGATTTGAATTCGCCTCTATGCAAGTCCTTTGAAGTCGATTCGTTTCTGATTCACAGCCCCCTGCAAGTCATCATCTCTGACCCATGGTCACTGCCAGTACTCTTCTATTCGGAACATGACCTCATAAGTACAATTCTGATTCTAAGCCCGCTATAAGTCAAACTCTTGGCGAACCCTGGCAATGACGATAGTGTTTCCTCCATAAGTTCAGCTCCCTTCTAACCCTGGCGGATCTGATTCAAAGGCCTCTGCGATAAAAATTCTTGTCTTACCCTGGCAATTCTGATTTCACTTACCTTTAATCACTACATTATATCAACCCTGACAATTATGTGTCATTGCCCTCGGTAGCTCATAACCCCTGTCCCATGGTGGAAATTCAGGTTGAAACTCCGAACTTGTAGGTCCCCCTTACCTTAGCAATTCAAATAACACATCCACTATAACCCAACATCACAACTCAACCTTGCAAGTCCACTCAGAGCCCCCTGTAATTGAACAGCCCTCTCAACCCTTCCAATCCAGATGTCAACCCCCCTCTAAGTCCAACTCCTAAGTCATCCTGGCAATTCTGATTCAACGCCCTCGGCAACAAAAAAAAAACACTCCAACCCTCGCAATTAAGATTCCATGCCCTTCGAACTCGAAATCTTTCTGACCCAGGCAATGTTGATGCAGGGTCTTTTGTATCTAAGAATCTTGTAAGACCCTAGCAATTAAGATCACACTTACCCGCTAAACTTCAATCACTTCTAACCCTAGCAATGTGATTATACTTCCTCTGTGTTCCAAATCCCCCGGACCTTGGCAATCAATCCCTTAGACCTTGGCAATCAAGGTTTGTACCCCTCTCTAATTCCAACTCCTGTCTAGCCCCTGCAAGTCTGAGTCGAAACCCTTTCTAATTCAACATCTTTTCGACCCTGGCAATTTATATTACAATCCCATTCTGACTTCTCAGTTCTTTCCAACCCTGGCAATGCTGATTCAATGTCCCTTGGAGTTCAAAACCGTGTCTAACCCTGACATTTCGATTTTAACGATCCCCGACATCTAAATCCGATATGTCCCTTGCAATACCGATTCAAAGTCCCTCGAACATCAAATTGCGTTCACCACAGTTTGTCAACCATTTCTAACTCCAAGTCTTGTCTAACTATGGCAATTCTGGTTCAACGTCACTTGCAACCCGGATGTATTCACGCCTGCTTCTCGAACCTTAGATTCCATCTAATTTTGGTAAGTTTGATTCAAAGTCCTCTGTAACCGAATTCTTGTCTATACCTGATCATTCTGGGTCCAACCCCTCCTCTAACTCGATTCCTTCTGGCCCCGACAATTTTGAACCTCGGCCCCCTGTACCTTAACATGGGGTCGAACCTTGAGAATTAAGATGACACTGCTTATCTATGTTGTAAGTCCCTTCGGTCTTCGGCGTCTCCAGTAACTCATCATCCAGTGTAGACCTGGCAATTTAGCTACGAACTCATCTTTAACTTTGACGTGTGTCTCACCCAGGCAGCGCTGGTATAAGTGATCTGTACCGCAAAATCCTTGCTAACTCTGGCATTTCTAGTTGGCATCCCTTTCGACTTCCAAGTCCTTCCAATCCCTGACAGTTCTGATTCAAACTTCCCGTAAGTCGCAATCATCTCTTAGCCTCACATTTCAAAGTGCACATCCCCTCTAACCCTGCATCCTTTCTAACCCTGGCAGTTCTGATTCAAAGTCTTTTGTAATTCCATACTTTCTCCACACTTCGCAATTAATATTGAATTATCTCTCCAAGTCTAGATCCTTTTTACCCCGTGCAATTAAAATCCAGCGTCATTTGTAAGTCAGAACCCTTCTTTATCCCTGGCAAGTCAACCTGGACTTCATCTGTAATTGTAATTCCTCCCTGCCCCTGCGAATTCAAATTCGAATTCCTCTGCCTGCCAAAATCATTTGTGAACATGACAGTTGAGATTTACAAGCTTGTTTCAGTATAAATGCTGATCCAAAGTCCCCTACAACTCGCATCCTCTTTTGACCATGGCCATTCAGATATCACTTAACCTGTAACTTTGTAAGCGTAGCAATTCTGATCCAAAGCCCCCCGTACCTCAGAAAGATTTCTCACCCCAGCAATGCAGTTTTAACTTCCTCTCTAATATGGAAGCCTTCCTAACCCTGGCAATCATGATTCAATGCCGTCTGTAGTCTAACATTCATGTTACCCCTTGCAATTCGGATAGCGTGTCTTCTGTTTTTCAAATACAATGATACCTGGTAGTTTTCATGCTCCTCACTGATGGCAGGTCCGATCTAACCCTGACAATTGTGATTCATATGTTCCTGCAGTTCAGGGTCCTTTCCATCTTTTCCAATTCAGAAACAAAGTGCTCGTCCAGCCCTTTCATTTCTGAGTCAAAGATTCCCCTGTAGCCCTCACTCCTTGCAAACCTCGGCAATTATGATTCCACTTCCTATGTAGCTCAACGTGTCTCCCCAACCCTGGCAAGTGTCTGGCACCTCTTGAGCAGTTTCCTTTGCAACGACTCGCTAACTCTGGCAACGGCCTCTCGACCGCCGTGCGCCAGCCACATCGCGACTACAGCATGCCGGCCGCGAGGAATCAACCTTTGTAGCACTTACAGTAGAGCTGCTGCGCTAATTGCTCAGCGAGGGAAACTGTGTGGTGCCAGCCGCATGTTCAGCAGATGTGTAAACAGGGGGGCTCGCTGTAAAGTGTCACTGCGACGCCCCTCGACCGTCGACTCTCGACGGTCGGATCTCTTTCTCCTCCCAACTCCGCGGCCGCTCTCTGCTTCCCCACCCGTCTCGTGCGCCCCGCGCCCAGCGTGGCCCGCCAGTCTCGACCCACGCGCCTGCGTCCGCGGGCGCTGCCGATGAAAACAAGTAAGCCGGCACCCCTCCCAGCGTGTTGAGGTCTCAGGCCTCCTGAGGCCCGTGAGGCACCTGGAGGGCCAGAGTGGCTGGAAGCCTCCAAACAGCCTCATGTGCTCCTGCCCCTCCTCCTCCCCGCCATGCCTGCTCCCTGCTCCCGATCCTCCCTGCTGCTCCCTTCCCTCCCAACTCCTCCGCCCTCCCACCCCCCCCGTTCCCCTCCCTGTTTTCCACGCGCCCATCGCCACACAGCGAGCCGGGCCTTGAGCGCGTGGGGCCGCTTCTTCTGCCGGTCAGACGCCAGGTGGCTCCGGCGTTTGGGCTTGGACCAGCAGAGCGTTCGGGATGGTATCCTCCTCCTCCCCCTCCTCCTCCTGCTTTTCCTCCTCCTCCATCTCCTCCTCCTCCTCCTCCCCGCCCTTCCTCGTCCTCCTGCTGATTTGGAGGGCGACATCCGAGCACTTCCCTCGCCGATCAGCGGATTCGGGCCACTCCATGGTCAGCGGGGGTGGGGCCCGGAATGCGTCGAAGACGTGGCGACATCCCATCGATTCAGGAGAATCGATGGTTGATGAGGGAGGAGGAGGAGGAGGAAGAGGAGGAGGAGGAGGAGGAGGAGGGGGAGGAGGATTAGGAGGAGGATTAGGAGGATGAGGAGGAGGAGGAGGAAGAATAAGAAGAAGAGGGTTCGGATGTCGCCACCTACTGATGCCACACCAGCCCCCTTTCTTCCACTCCCCCCCCCACTCCCCCTTCCACCTCGTGTCCCCGTGCACATCCTGCTGCTCCCGCGCTGTCTCCTCTTCCCTGCTGCCGTTCGGCCTCCCTGTCCGTGCCGCAACCGCCGGCTCAAGTTCCCCTCCGACACTCGCGTCTTACATTCACACACCAACAAGCATCCGCTTGCAGCTGGATTACACTCGAGACGCTTCGCGACAGCATCGTTCGCTATTCTGGCTCTCGCCAGAAGGGCCGAATGCGGCACTAAGACGAGCAGGAAAGAGAGCAACACGATGCGCAAGGACGCTTGACACGGCTTGGCGTTCACCCGAAATTGCCACCAGGATGTTTCCAAAGACGATCCAAGACATCGTCCATAGTGTAGGTGTGTTATTAGGAAGGTCGGGCAATTGTCCAAGCTTCGAAAACAACCTTCGTGTGGGAGCCGATCCGACACGGTCTTGGAGTCGCATCGGGGACATCCTGAACCGCGTCGCGCCTGGGTTGCACTGGGGCCTTCTTGGGGTGGCATACTGGGCCTCCTTCGGAGCCGCAGTGGCCTGACAGCTAGCACAATCCAACAAGCAAACAACTTGCGTCGGCCAGTCTCGTTTCTCGGGGAGAGGGGGCCCGCGGGCTCGCCGCTCGAGGGAGTCGTCCTGGCGCCGTCGTGGGCCGTCCCGGTGCGGTGCCGACGGCGACCTGAAGGCCAACCTCGTCTTCGAAGCTGTGCTGCAGCCGTCCTGGCGGCGAGAATGGCATGGGCCGCACTGCCTCGGGGCTGTCGGGCGGAACGCACGGATACCCCGCCAGGATTTTGACGTGAGGCTCAGGTTTCACAGCAGGCATCTCGAGAACAGATCATGCCTGTCGGTCTCCAGGAGAGACCTCAGACTGCTCACGCGGGCTTCAAGAGGCCCCAGGGACAGCCCAAGCAAGACAGAATGCCAGGGATCGACATCCCCCCAACAAGGATTGGGGTGTTGGCGAACCCACCCTCTCCCCCATTTCTCCTTCCACTGGGGTATGTTTGTGTTTTCCGCCCCCCCCTACTTCCCCCATTTCAAAAGAGTGGCTTTGGGGGTAAGTACCCCCCTTCCCCTCCCCTCTGCGCCGGAGGGGAGGGGAGAGGGGGGGGGAACCCTTGCCACCCCCCCCTCCTTTGGCGGTGGAAGAAGGGCGAGGGTCGCGGTCCGGCGCATGGTGGTTTTAGGGGTAGGGTGTTAAGGGTAAGGTGTTACGGCTCACGCAGGCTGCACAAAACCAATCCCCCCGCCCTGCGACCTTCCCAAGATATCGACCCATCCTGTCGTGTCATCGCGGTTTGGCATCCTCCGCACCTCCGGAGCGCAGCCAAGCCGTCTCGGGGCGATCTTGCTGCGTGCCTGGGTCCTGCTTCTATCTTTTGCCATCATATCGACCTCCGCAACAATCTGGAAGCGTCAACGCGATCCAATTGATCTGTTCTTTGACGCCTCGTGCGGCGGCGAGGACGTTGAAGATGAAGATGTGGATGCTGCTGCTGCTGCTGCTGCTGCTGCTGCTGCTGCTGCTGCTGCTGCTGACGGCGAGCCTGGGAGCGCCTGGGGAGCGACTGGAGCGTCTGGCAGCGCCTGGGAAACGTCTGGGAGTCCTTGGAGCGCGCTGTGAAGATCAGTCGATGTCCACCAAATGGAAGTGGTCTCAGGGAATCGTGCGAATTCTTTACGCTACGCGCATTCCCACCGTAATTTTCTCAGTTTCAGCCTGCCCCCTCCACTCGCCGGTCCGTCGCTGAGGTGCTGCGTGAGGCTCCGCCTAGCCGCTTTCGGTGAGGCTGCGCCCCGTTGCTTCAGGTGAAGTTGTCGCTGCGTGCCCCGCTTTGACTGGACTCACCGCTGGCGCGCTCGCCTGCGGCCGCTGGCAAAAAGCATTCCCACCAGCACGCTCACAAACCTTGCATATGAGAGCTGACGGGAAACGAGGGCGAAGAGACAAGTGAAACCGAGCGGGCAACCAGGATGAACAGAGAGAGCTCTGGGAGCAAGGAGGTGGCCTTGCAGGGCCACTTCGGTCCATCCCTGGAGTCCGCGGGCGTCGATGGGGGAGAGGAGGAGGAAGAGGAGGAGGAGGAAAAGGAGGAGGAGGAGGAGGAGAAGGAGGAGGAGGAGAAGGCGAAACACCTCTTGGGGCCCTCGTGGGACGCTCTTTCTTTGGGCTTTCTTGGGGCGGTCTGGGGGCCGTTATCTTGGGGTTTTCTTGGGGGGTCTTTTGGGGCCCTCTCGGGCTAACCAAGGAAAGCGGGTACACCACGAAAACGAAACAAAAACAATGTTTAGTTCGAGCCTTGCGCCACAAAACGGTTTGCCCCCGTAATGGGAAGATGATCCTAGATTTTGGTGTTGGTGTATATTTTGCCGCCATACAGGAAGCACGAAGCTTACCACCATCGCCGACTTCGGGATCATCTTCCGTCGGCGGAGGCTTCCGCCGATATCGGGGTTGGTGTCAGCCTCCCAGGCCTCCGAGGTACGGGCGGCCTCGGCAGCCCTCCCAAGATGGCAGGCTTGTGCGAGACACCCTGCCATGACGGAGGGTCCGAAGGGGGACTTCTCGCCCATAGACCAGAAACCTGGCCCGAGGGGCACGGTGCCGCAGCCCACCAGAGGCCCTCAGAGGAGGAGCAGGAGCAGGAGCAGGAGCAGGAGCAGGAGCAGGAGGAGGAGGAGGAGGAGGAGGAGGAGAAGGAGGAGGGTCACCAAGGGGACCACCACCGCCCAAGTGCCCCCATCCCTTCCTGGAGCCTCCCCTGGAGCCTCCCCGCGGCTACCCCCGGAAACTCCTGGGGCCTTGCGGAGGTCTCAAGTTGGCCCCAAGACGGTCCCAACAGGCCTCGGGCTGCCTCCGGAGGCTCCCAGCGCTTCACAGGCCCCAAGACCCAGGAGGCCGCCTGAGTGCCCACAGAGCACTTCCGAGGGGGTCAAATCGGTACATAACCCAAGGTATTCCAGATGTCCCGACAATTTGTTTCCACTTAGGAGCTCGTACTTCTCTTCTGAGGAGCGGAGCCCGTCGGTAGGCCCAGCGGCGCCGTTCTCGTCCGTCGCCCCCCCCGTGTTTCTAAGTAACAGGTCTGTGTGCGGTCCCAGCGGCGCCGTTCTCGCTCGTTGCAGCCACCCCGTTGCACACCCCCCTTGCATTGCAATCGCATTACGTTGCAGTCGCATTTCGTTGCGCTGCAATCTCGTTGCGTTGCATTGTTTTGCTTTGCTATCGCAGAGCATTGGAATCGCGTTGCATTGCGTTTCAATGGCATTGCACTTGTTTGCATTGCTAGGATTTGGTGTGCACTGCTTGCATCGCTTTGCATCTAGTTGTATTGATTTGCATGCCGTTGCATGTCTTGGCGTCGCACTACACTGCTGGACAGTTATTTGTATTGCGTGGCGTTGCTGTGCATTCCTTTGCCCTGTATTGTTGTGTAGTAATTTGCAGTGTGTTGCATTGCCTTGTACTGGTTTGCAGTGTTCTGCAGTGTCGTTCATCACGTTATCTTGCATCGCATCGCTTTGCATTACTAGACATTACTTTGCATCGCCTTGCATCGCTTTGCATTGCTGCGCATAGCTTCGCATTGCTACGCATTGCTTTGCAACACATGTATTGCATCCCATTGGTCCTACCACCTAGATCGCATCACACTGATTGCAACACCAAGATTGCATCGCACAGGTTGCGACACATCGCGTTCTGGAGGCCACGATGGTTCCCATGTGTTTGAGGTCGCACTTGTTAATAACATGTGGCTCCACGACTGCCTCGGAGCCCGAAAAGGCCCCCCCACAGGAGCCCCAATATCACCCCACGAGGATGGCCCGGGTTTGCCATTGGCGTCGCGGGCGGAAATCTGGCGTCAGTTGCTCCCCTCTCCCCCCATCTTGTCTCTCGTTCTCGTCTTCCCTGCGAGTCTGTTCGAATTTCGCTTCGCTCTGGTGGCTTAGGCCGCCCTTGGATAAGGCTGTGCCTTCCTGCGGGGCAGGAGGCGCTGTGCTTTACGAGACCGCTCCGTTCCTGGTGGGCGTCGTCCCCTACGGTTGGCTTGCAGTGTCCTTGTCTCCCGATTCCCTGCTGCTGCACGTTGCTTGCCATGGTCTCCCTCATGTTTGCTCTGTTCGTCTCTTGTCTCGCTCGCTCGCCTGCTCCTCTCCGTGCTGCTCTAGGGTCTTCCTCGCTCCCGCTTGCCGCACGTTCCACCTCCCTGCTCTTGCGGCTGCCGTTCACGCGCGGCGCTCAGTGTTTCTCACCTGGCTGCCCGCGCCTTCCAGTGCTCACCACGACGCTTGGGGGTTGGGGTTGCGTTGCGCTGCAGGCAGAACCAGGATGACGGCCCAGGTCTGCCCCGCGGGAGCGCCAAGAGGGCCAACCACGGCCTCGGGAGGAGCCACGGACGGCCCAAGAGAGGTCCAAGACGGTCCCAAGAGCCCCCCAAGCTCCCGAGAGGCTCCGAGGTTCCCCCCAGGAGATACCCAGTACAGTCGGGGCCCTGAAGAAGGAACCCTTTTCGTTGGGGAGGGGCTCCGTGTTCCTGAATTGTTTCGCAGCTTGCCTTGGATTTTCCCTAGGTTTTCGATACGAAATCGAAGTTCAACTTATGGAAAATAGGGGCCTCGTTCCTTATTTAGGGTTCCTTAGGTCAACGCCTCGACTGTACTACAGAGAGGCCCCGAGAGGGGCGCCAAAACGGTCCCAAGAGGCCGCCAGAGCGTCCACGCAGGACACCCAGGAGGGAGAAGCACATCGAGCACCAAGAACGAAGCAGACTCAGTCCCATGGCAAGTAGAACTGGAGCGCGCTTGAAGGTTCTAGTTGTAAGTATGCACCGGGGCTTCTAATAGTTCCACCAGAGAGGATTTCAAGGATAGGCACAACAACAGAGATCCATGTTGCCGCCAGGATGCCACAGGAATCCTCTATGGTGTTCCTAAATCGGATGGGGGTCGCGTTGCACACATCCCAAACATTGATCTGTCGAGTTCACTGTTGCCTGGGCCTCCCGGGACCTGAGGGGGAGGAATCTCAGTTGGTCGAGGGGGGCTGAGCGAGACATCCAGCACTTCCTAGCAGGGCCCCGTTCCAAGAATGAGGTGGGCTCCGACGGCGCCAGTGCTGCCCGAGGCATCTTCCCAACACGCGGAGCGGGTTGTTATCTTGAGCATGCCCACGAGGCTCCAAGATGTGTCCAAGATGGCCTAGGAAGCCTCCAGGAGGGCCCAGGTATCTATGGAGCCAGGCTGAGGAGGCCAGGCGTGTCGAAACTGTCAGGCGGCTCGAAACGGCCAGCGGCCTCCTCCTCCTCCTCCTCTTCCTCCTCCTCCCTCCCCCTCCTCCTCCTTCTCCTCCTCCGCCTCCTCCTCCTCCTCCTCCGCTTTAATCATCCTCCCTCCTCCCTCCTCCCTCCTCCTCCTCCTCCTCCCTCCTCCCTCCTCCTCTTCCTCCTCCTCCTCCTCCTCCTCCTCCTCCTCCCTCCTCCTCCTCCTCCTCGGCTCAACAGCGGCCCGGCGGGCCCTCCACGGTGGCAGATGTCGGGGGCGGAAAAGAGGGGGGTGATGACTAGGGGGGGGTGGATATCATGGCGTGGGCCATGATATTTCCCCAGATTTCGTGGCGCCTCTTCTTATTTCATTACGTCCCTGGCCCCCCCGCTGGGCCGCGCACGTGCCGCCAGTCATGATTTGCACCCCCCCCTCTTGGACCCCCCCCTCGTTGGCCCCTCCCGAAGATGCCCAGAGGCAGCCTCTGCGGGTCCCGGGAGGGCTCGAGGAAGAGCAGGAGCAAGCGCACGCGAGGGCGGGGAGCAGGCAGCGAGGAGGAGCAGCGAAAATTGGTGGTCCTCCTCCCGCTCCTCCTCCTCCTCCTCCCTCCTCCTCCTCCTCCTCCTCCTCCTCCTCCTCCTCCTCCTCCTCCTCCTCCTCCTCCTCCTCCCTCCTCCTCTTCCTCCTCCTCCTCCTCCTCCTCCTCTCCCCTTAGAAGGAGGCTGCCTCTTAGAAGGCGCCGGCCTTGCATCTATAGATCAGGCCCGCGCCTTCTAAGAGGCAGGGGTGCTTCTAAGAAGCCCTCCCCCTCCCCCCACCCCCTCTGCGCGTGGCTAAGAGGAGGCGGAGCGGAGAAGAGGAGACGAGGAGTGCGCGGAGGTGGGCGATGAGCAGCAGCGTTGGGATGGAGGCAGAAGCCCGTTGCACGCAGCAGCAGTATCAATTGGCCGCGAGCGACGACCATCGGCAGCATCATCAACCCTGGGCTTGAGCAGCAACGCTTCACGTTGTGGCCGGACTAGGTTGTCCAGGCGATCGTGGCCTTCGGAGTGCGGAGGCAATGTATGTTGTGGAACCCCCATGCCTGTGGGAGTTTGAATTCATGGGGTATTGCGGTTCATGGGCGCTCTAGAGGGCCTCGGGGCACCCCGACAGGAAGGCCCTGGAGGTCTGCAAATCATCCCAATAAAGATCAGATAGCCCACACGATGGCGCCCAGGGTGTCCGAGCACGCCCTAAGAAGATACCGGCGGTCCGAGAGGCCCAACCGGGGCCCCAAGAGGCGCCCAGTGCGGCCTTGGACGCACCAGCAGGACCCACACAGATGTGTACGTATACACATGAATGGGGCGTTCCAGCAAAGGGCCTTGCTTCCGAGGGTCGAAGGAATTGTCATCGCTTCCGCGGCGGAAGGCGGCGGAAGCGCGGCGGAAGCAAAACGAGGCCGCCTCCGCTGGCGGAAGCCGTTGGAAGCTCGGCGGAAGGCGGCGAGAGTAAAAGATGTGCCCCAAAGGGATGAAACTGTCATTGGCTTCAGGGTTTCCGAATTCGCCCGTGTATATATCTACATATATATACATACATACTAGGAACTACATCGACATAAATACCCAAAACAGCAACGCTGTTTGTGAAGACACGTTGTGCCTGAAAACTACTGGGTGCGGCACGGCACGCGGGAACGGCATGCGCAGGGCACGGCGCGAAAGGGCACGGCGCGCACATGTCACGGCACGGCACGGCATTGCAGCAAGCCGCGCCACATTTCCGCATTCTAGGCATCAGGCACGGCATTGTTTCGAATCCTACAGTCATCTCGCACAGCAGTGTTGGGGGCAATGTTCTCAAGGGCACCCTTGCTTTCATGCCTCCTCGGCCCATTCTTGGCCGCTTCCGCTGGCCGCGCCCTGCCCGCAGAGAGTCGACATGGCCCTCCGAGGTTCTTGCATCCTTACTCTATGATGTTCCCACCTACTTTTGTGCCTTGATAGCCAGAGAGAGTTCCGAGCACCAAGCAAGTACCGAGACCGGATAGTTTTCACGTGACGGGCCTTGGGAGGCGATACTCGTTCGACGCTGTCACGACACTTTTCCTGGGTGATCGAAAGGATGTTTGGAATGTGGTCCTGAAGTGCAATGGGAACAACATCCTCCTTGGTGCACGCACATCCTTATGATGCGCGTTGACCGTGCAGCTCGGGCGCGTGAGCATCTGCACGCGCACGCGCACTGTGGGGCTCGCGGGCACGGCACGGCAGTCTCGGGCGGCGCGCCTCTGGCAGTCTGATGTCCCAGGAGCCGGCTCTCAGATGAGGTCTCCATCGCATTCATTGCTCAGTGAAGAAGTAACCATCGGTCGTTGAGAGTAGGTATTTTTGCATTTCCAGATTCCAATCTACTTTATAAGCGCCTTCCTACTCCAGTGATCGAGGGGCTCCACCTTTTCCGTCCTCCTTAAGGGGCGGGCGGACACCCAATCTACTTTCAACGCCTTCCTACATCATGTTTCTACCTACTTCTACCGGGTCATTAGTTGACAGCTCATTTTGAGTTGATTATTGGGCCCCAGCGACGGCAAGCACAGAGCGTCAGTTGCATCGGTGGTGGACTACCACGCCGGAGCCTTATCCGTTCCCGTGTTGCCGCAGGTCCAACACTCCTCTGGCCCGTCGGCCAAGCGGATTTCATTCGCCATGGCCTTCCCTTCGAAGTGCCTCGCTGCGCTGCTGGCCGGCAGCGCGGCTGCCCAGCCCGTCACGGTCTTCGAGCACATCTCGGACACGACGGTGGAATCGGATGCAACTCTTGGGGGGTCAAATTCTGATTTAGTCCTGGTCCGAAATCCCGCTTAATCCGGCTTCATCCCGTTTAATCCCGCTTAATCCGGCTTAATCCCGCTTAATCCCGCTTAATCAGGCTTAATCCCGCTTGATCCGAGGCCCATTCTGGCGTAACAGCCCCCCAATGGGGCTTCATCCTCCTTCATCCTTCCGACGAAAGCCTCCCAGTAGTTGCCTCCTAAGGTGGAGCCCTCTCTCCTGCAGTTCACGGACAATGTGTCGCGCCGCGAGGAGGCCTCTCTCCTGCAGTCCGCGGACGGCATGTCGACCTACGGGCATTGGTCCTTCATGGAGGGCAACTTCGGCCTCGTGGCGGACGACGCCCCGACGTGGTGCAAGAACGACACGCAGCTGACCTGGGCGCAGAGGAAGGAGCGCATGCAGCAGCACAACACCCTGCTGTGGGCCAAGAAGATGGTCAAGACGATCCAGGAGACTGGAGGGGAGAACGCGACCGTGCCAGAGTGGATGGACAAGATCGTCTCCGACGACGAGAAGAAGGGCAAGGCCAGGTGGGCCGTGCAGGAGTCCAGGCGCCTGAAGTCGGAGGGGAAGGAGACGCCCCAGTGGATGGAGGACCTCGTGGCGGAGGACAGCAAATGGGCCAACCGCTGGGCCGCGTGCAAGGCCGCCCAGCTGAAGGCTGCTGGCGAGGAGGCGCCCGCCTGGATGGTCGAGAACGGGAGGAAGGGCACGATCGAGGCCGCAGCGGAGAAGGCCCAGGAGCTCCAGGAGCAGATCGAGGAGCTGGACAGCGAGAAGGAGCAGGAGGTCGCGATCGTGGACGCCCACGGTGACTACTCGCTGGCGAGCCAGAGGATGACGGCCATAAGCAGGGCGCTCCGCACGACGACGCTGAGCCAGCAGACCCATGCGCTCGGAGATGCCATCGAGGGGCTGGAGCACTTCGAGGTGCAGATTCAGAAAGAGGGCAAGACCCCCGAGGTCGTCCGCGAGGTCCGGCACACCCTGCGGAAGGCGACGCTGTCGGCGCACATGATCACCAAACTGCTGGACATGAAGACGGAAATGGCCAAGGCGCAGGTCTCGAAGTGAGCGGCTCCTGGCCGGGCCAGCACCGCGGCCGATGCTGCAAACTAGGAAGGCCTCATCTCTCTCTCTCTCTCTCTCTCTCTCCCCCTAGCATTCCCTCTCTCTCTCAGTGCCTTTCTCACTCTCTCGCTCTCCCCTCGTTTGCTCTCCCTCCATCTCTCCCTGTCACTCCCTATCTCTCTTTCTGTTTCCCAGCCCTCCTTGGTTGAGCTTTCGTTTTGAATAGATCACTATTATCGCGTCTTCTTCTCCTCCCGCCTCCCTCTTGTCTCCTCTTGACTTGTTCGTACCTCTTGTCCGTGCATCTTGCTTGCGGTACCTATTGTGTGTACATTTTGCCTGAGGGGCTGCGATCTGCGAAACTGGCGCCACTTTCGAGGGCTGCTAGGGAGGCCAGCTGAGTGGGTTCCCGCAGCGGATCCAAAGTAGACCTCGCCATCCCTGGGGCGCTGCGATCTCCGACATTGTCGCCACGTTCGAGGGCTGCTAGGGGGGCCAGCATAGTGGGCACCCGACGCGGATTCAAATTAGACCTCGCCATCCCTGGGGGGCCGCGCCCTGCGAAACTGCCGCCACTTTCGAGGGCTGCTGGGAGGGTCAGAATAGTGGGCACCCGCCGCGGATCCAAATTTGACCTCGCTAGCCTCGGGGGGCTGCGATCTGCGAAACTGTCGCCGCTTTGGAGGGCTGCTAGGGGTGCCAGCACATTCGGCACCCGCCGCGGATTCAAAGTAGACCTCGCTATCCTCGGGGGGCTGCGATCTGCGAAACTGTCGCCGCTTTCGAGGGCTGCTAGGGGTGCCAGCACATTCGGCACCCGCCGCGGATTCAAAGTAGACCTCGCCATCCCTGGGCTGCGATCTGCGAAATTGTTGCCACTTTCGAGGGCTGCTAGGGGGGCCAGCTGAGTGGGTTCTCACCTCGGATCCAACGTAGACCTCGCCATCCCTGGGGAGCTGCGATCTGCGAAATTGTCGCCACTTTCGAAGGCCGCTGTGGAGGCCAGCATAGTGGGAACCCGCCGCGGATCCAAAGCAGACCTCGCCATCCCTGGGGGGCTGCGATCTGCGAAATTGTCGCTACTTTCGAGGGCTGCTGGGAGGGCCAGCGTAGTAGATACCAGCCGCAGATCCAAATTATACCTCGCAATCCCTGGGGGGCTGCGATCTCCGACATTGTCGCCACGTTCGAGGGCTGCTAGGGGGGCCAGCATAGTGGGCACCCGACGCGGATTCAAATTAGACCTCGCCATCCCTGGGGGGCCGCGCCCTGCGAAACTGCCGCCACTTTCGAGGGCTGCTGGGAGGGTCAGAATAGTGGGCACCCGCCGCGGATCCAAATTTGACCTCGCTATCATCGGGGGCTGCGATCTGCGAAACTGTCGCCGCTTTCGAGGGCTGCTAGGGGTGCCAGCACATTAGGCACCCGCCGCGGATTCAAAGTAGACCTCGCTATCCTCGGGGGGCTGCGATCTGCGAAACTGTCGCCGCTTTCGAGGGCTGCTAGGGGTGCCAGCACATTCGGCACCCGCCGCGGATTCAAAGTAGACCTCGCCATCCCTGGGCTGCGATCTGCGAAATTGTTGCCACTTTCGAGGGCTGCTAGGGGGGCCAGCTGAGTGGGTTCTCACCTCGGATCCAACGTAGACCTCGCCATCCCTGGGGAGCTGCGATCTGCGAAATTGTCGCCACTTTCGAAGGCCGCTGTGGAGGCCAGCATAGTGGGAACCCGCCGCGGATCCAAAGCAGACCTCGCCATCCCTGGGGGGCTGCGATCTGCGAAATTGTCGCCACTTTCGAGGGCTGCTGGGAGGGCCAGCGTAGTAGATACCAGCCGCAGATCCAAATTATACCTCGCAATCCCTGGGGGGCTGCGATCTCCGAAATTTTCGCCACGTTCGGGGGCTGCTGGGGGCGCCAGCATAGCGGGCACCCGCCGCGGATCCAAATTAAACATCGCCGTTCTTGGGGGATTGTGATCTGCGAGACTGTCGCCACTTTCGAGAGCTGCTGGGGGGGCAGCATAGTTGGTGCCCGCCGCGGGTCCAAATCAAACCTCGCCATCCTCGGGGGGCTGCGATCAGCGAAACTGTCGGCACTTTCGAGGGCTGCTAGGGGGCCAGCATAGTGAGTGCCCGCCGCGGATCCATTCTAGACCTCGCCATCCCTGGGGGGGGGGGGGCGATCTGCGATACTGTCGCCACTTTCGAGGGCTGCTTGGGGGGCCAGCATAGTGATCTGCGAAACTGTCACCAATTTCGAGGGGTGCTGGTGGGTCCAGCGGAATGAGGCACCGCCGCGGATCTGAGCGAGACCTCGCCGTCCCTGGGGGGCTGCGATCTGCGAAATTGTCGCCACTTTCAAGGGCTGCTGGCGGGTCCAGCGGAATGAGGCACCGCGCAGATCTGAGCGGGACCTCGCCGTCCTTGGGGGGGTGCGATCTGCGACACCGTCGCTCCTTTCGAAGGCTGGTGGCGGGTCCAGCGGAGTGAGGCACCACGCAGATCCGAGCGGGACCTCGCAATCTCTGGGGGGCTGCGAGCATCACGAATGCCGCTCGCAGAAGTATATGCGCCCATGTCACGTCATCAGCTCCGTATAGCGCCTCCCAAGCTACTCATGTCCCGCATTTCGCAGGGGTTGGGTACGTCGCCAGCTTTTTTTTTTTTGTTTCTCTCTCTCTCTCTCTCCCACAAGCGATCTCCCAACCGCCGTCGGCCTGTCCGGCACCACCGAGGTTTGTGTCGACGTTGCCATCCCCTCGGTTGCTTCCGCCTGGCGCCTTCCCGATGTGGCTGCATCCTCGGTCGCTTCCCGACGCCTCACCGCCTATCCCCTGGCCTGCTCTTGGCGATACTCTCCTCTGATGGGACTTCGCAGGGAGAGGTAGTCGAGGGGGAGGAGGAGGAGGAGGAGGAGGAGGAGGAGGAGGAGGAGGAGGAGGAGGAGGAGGAGGAGGAGGAGGAGGAGGAAGAAGAGGAGGAGGAGGAGGAGGAGTGTGACGACGACAATTGGCGAGGGGAGGCGAGGGGGAGGAGGAGGGGGCGGCCTCGGTGAGGGCCGGGAGAGGAGGGCGAGGAGGAGCGGGTCCTCGCGCGCGTCCCAGGGCTCCGAGCTTGACTTCGCCTTGCACGTCCAGTACGCTGGCTCACAGGACAGCGGCCCTCGAGAGGCCTGACATGCAAAGGGCCCTCGGCGGGCAGGGGTGACCACTCACCACACCAGCCCAACCCAACGCGAAGGCCCCAGTTTGCCCTCCATCCTCAGTGGGGGCTGGGTCGGGGAACACTGGACGAAAACATGCGGCACCCGTTCCCCCCGCCCCACCCCCAAAATTCGCGTCTTCGGGTTGGGTTGGGGTGGTCTGGCAGGTAACCGCGGAGGGTCTTCAATGATGGAGGGGCCCCGCCCCCCTCCCTCAACCTCTCGGCTGGATATCGTCGTCCCTCGCCTCCTCGCCCCTCCCCCTCCTCGCCGTCCTCCTCCTCTCCTCGCTCGCTCGCTCTCCCTCCTCGCCCTCCTCTTCGTCCTTCCCCTCCTCGCCCTCCACCTCGCCTCCCCTCTCCTCGTCCTTCCCCCCTCCCCCTCGCGGCGAGTCAGCGGCGGGGGGGGGGGGGGGCAGCTGGGGGGCCGAGGGGCCGCAGGGGGGGGGGGGCACCGCAGGGAAGGGAAGGGTGAAGTCGTGGGGCAGAGGCGGGGCGGGGGCGGGTGGCGAGACTGCCGACAGCGCGTCCACATTCGAGCACCAGTCGACATGGCTACGGTAGGTTCGTGTCGTGTCGACCAGCGGCGACCCCGCCGCCGGAGTTCCACGTGGAACGCCGACGGCGACCCAGCATCGATCGACGTTCAACGATGTGGCGTTTCGGAAGCGGCCGATCGTTCGAGGTTGAACGATTCCCGCGGTGTCAAGAACCATCGCCTGGGTCGACAGGACGCAGACCTGCGGTACACCATTCTCTCCTGCTCCAGTCGTTGCCGCGCAGTTTCTCAGCGTGGTGTGCGGGCAGAGTCCATCGAGTGCTGCGCGGAAGCACGGGAGAGCGAGCCCCGACAGGGTGGCTCGGACCGGAGTGCTGGCGACGAGCAGCAGCAGGAACTGGAGTGGAACGAGCGGGAGGAGCAGGAGGACCGGGGGACGACGGAGGATGGCAAATGAAGGGTGCGACAGCGATGAAGAGGCCACAGATCCAGACAAGCAGCCCGCGCTAGGGCGAGAACGCCAAGCTGAACGACGGGACGAAAGAGCCGATGCGAAATGAGGCCAACGATGCAGCGGGAGCACCATGTTTGAAACACCGAAAACAACCGAAGTGCAAATCATCATGCAAGGCAGGCTTGACCATGATAGACCCACGAACCCGGAAAGTACTACAGAACTATGAGGAGTGGCAACGTTTTCAAGACACCAGATTTGGGCGACGGGTAATTGCGATCTTGATTGTATCGATCTCGATGTACCGTGCCCAGGGCTGTGCTGCGCTGCGCCGTGCTGAACTGTTATGTACCATGCCGCGATTGTGTTCTATCGCGTTATGGATCGAGTCCTCCTTTGCATCCGAGTCCTGACCGAACTGATCTGGATCCGAAGCTCGAGCTGCCTGAGTACACAGTAGCCGCCCCGGAGCTAGTTGAAGTGGAAACGTGCGGGAAGTTCAGTCAACTCGACCTCAGAATCCGACGCAGCTCCGAAGAGGAACGACACGACACTGGGCACAGGCTTACGGACGCGCCACGGGACAGGCCAGGGGCGCAGCAGGGGAGACGCGCCAGGGGGCGTGCCAGAGGACGTATCCGAAGACGTGCGCTGGACGTGTCGGGGACCTGCCATGGGACGTGCCAAGGCACGTGAGATGGGGCGGCCAGAGGACGTCATGCCAAGGGGCGTTGCAAGGGGCGCGCCACGGAAGGGGCAGGGGAAACGCCTGGGCACGAGCCAGGAAACACGACAGAGGACGAGCCAGGGAAAGTGCCACGCCGAGTGGCGTGCTAGTGGACGTGCCAGGGCACGTCACCCCAGAACGTCGAAAGGGACGCGCCAGGGGACGCGCTGGCGCGCCAGGGGATGCCCCACGGACTGGCGGGGATGGACTGCGACGCACTCTATTGCGACAAGCGTTTCGCTCGAGGCATCTTCAACAAAACCTCATGTTAGACATCCGCCTCGGCGACCTGGAAACGTGAAATCAAGCGTCTCGCTCGAGACATGCGCAACACATCTTCATGTTAAACATGTGCTAGGTCGACCTGGGCACGTGAAAACAAGCGTCTCGCCCGAGACGTTCTCAACACCCCCTCGTGCTAGAGAGCTGCCTGGGCAACCTGGACGCGCGACAACAAGCGTTTCGGTCGAGACATCCGGCCCATATCTTCATGTTAGAAATCCGCATGGGCGACTTGGGCAAGTGAAAGCAAGCGTTTTGCTCATCACATCTTCAACACATCCTCATGCTAGACATCCGCCTGGGCGACCTGGACACGTGAAACCAGGCGGTTCGCCCGAGACATCTTCAACGCATCTACTTGTTAGACATCCGCCTTGGCGACCTGGGCACTTGAACAGAAGCGTCTCGCTCGAGACGTTCTCAGCACCTCCTCATGCTAGACATTCGACTCGGCGGCCTGGAAACGTGAAATCAAGCGTCTCGCTCAAGACATTCGCAACACATCTTCATGTTAGACATGTGCCAGGGCGACCTGGGCATGTAAAAACACGCGTCGCGCCCGAGACGTTCTCAACATTCCCTCATGCTAGACATCTGCCTGGGCAACCTGGACCCGCGACAACAAGCGGTTCGGTCGAGACATCCTGCCCAAACCTTCATGTCAGACATCTGCCTGGGCCACTTGGGCAAGTGAACGCAAGGTTTTTTCTCATCACATCCTCAACACATCCTCATGCTAGACATCCGCCTGGGCGACCTCGACACGTGAAACCAGGCGGTTCGCTCGAGACATCTTCAACACATGTTCATGTTAGACATCCGGCTGGGCGACCTGGGCACGTGAAAAGAAGCGTTTCGCTCGAGACATTCTCAGCACCTCCTCATGCTAGATATCCACCTTGGCGATCTGGACACGTGAAACCAGGCGGTTCGCTCGAGACATCTTCAACACATCTACTTGTTAGACATCCAGCTGGGCGACCTGGGCACGTGAAAAGAAGCGTGTCAATCGAGACGTTCTCAACACCTTCTCATGCTAGACATCCGATTCGGACACGTGATAGCAAGCGTTTCGCTCGACACATCCGCAGCACATCTTCATGTTAGACATTTTCCAGGGCGACCTGGGCGCGTGAAAACAAGCGTTTCGCAAGAGAGGTTCTCAACACATCCTCATGCTAGACATCCGTCTAGGCGATCTGGACACGTGAATCCAAGCGTTTCGCTGGAGACATCCTCAACAAATCCTCATGCTAGACACGTGCCAGGACGACCTGGACGCATGAAAGCAATCATCTCGCTCGAGACGTTCTCAACACCTCCTCATGCTAGACATCTGCCTGGGCAACCTGGACGCGTGAAACCAAGCGTCTCGCTCGAGACATCCTCAAGACCTGGGCAAGTGATAATAAGCATCTCACCCAAGATATTCTTTGTATTCTGGTCTTCAGGAGAGGAACAAACTATAACACACAACAAGCGTTTCGCCCAAGACATCCTCGACAAATTCTGCAGACGCGTTTCGCTCGAGACGTCTGTAACAAGCGAACATGTGTATTGTACCAGCTGTGGCCCAGCTGTGTTCTCGATCGGGATTGCAAACACCCGCGTTTCGCTAGGGACATCCTCAATTTGTTTAAATCGCTGGCCTTCTTCGACCCCGTTACATATCGCAAAATAGATTCGCCGGCCTCCTTCAAGTCGAGGCTGGGGGTAAACCTCCAACAGAGAACCCTGGGCCCCCACCCTTTCTGGGATTTGTTTAGTTCTTGTGTGTAGAAAGCGTTGCGCGGAGAGGTGCGGCTATTTTCCGGACGGAGTGGTGAGAGAAGGGAGAGTAGTATCTAGAATGTGCAGTTGTTGACGTGAGAGGAGGGAGGAAGGGAAGAGGGATGATGGGATGGAAGACAGAGCGGGAGGGAGGGTTGGGGGGAGAGGGAAATGGCGGCGAACAGAAGAATGAGGGAGAGGTGGGAGGAGGGATGAGCGAGCGAGCGTGGGAAGAAGGCTCGAGGCAGGGAGGAGGCAGGAGGGAAGAGGGAGCGAGGGGAGGGAAGAGGGAGGGAGGACCAGGAGGCGAAGGGCGAGGACCAGTGTCCATCCAAGACGCATCAACGATGCTGCCATCAACCTTCCCTCTAAGTTTTCTCTTCGTCGGTCCCTACACTAATTTCGTTTCATTGCGGCCAGTGCCCGATTGGCAGACAACCGATTGAGAATCCTCGATCGCGCCAAAACGCCATTCTTGGGACTTCAGTGCCACAAGTCAACGTGACTGTTGCGTCCTGACAATCCTCACTCCTGGGACTTCCGCACCGCGAGTCAACGTGGATGTTGCGTCCGGACAATCCGAAATCGTGCCAGAACGCCGTTGATGGGACTTGAGCCGTGCGAGTCTTTGAAGTTGTTGCAGGCGTTGAGAAAGACTATGTGGGTAGCGCTAATGCGAGAGCCCTCTGTTGATAACGGCCCACCCTCCACCCTTGAAGCTGCTGCAAGCTTTTAGGAGGACTGTGCGCGACCATGAGGCGAGAGCCACCTTCGAAAGTGGCCCACCCTCCATCCTTGAAGTATTTGCAAATTTCAAGCTTCAGACTCATCAGTGGCGGGCAAGTCTCAGGCGAACGCCCAGCCCGCCCTGCCCACGCGTGCGGGGGTGCGGCGGTGCGGCAGGGAGGAGCAGCTGCTTG